GGTCCAGCACTGCCCTGCGCCTCCTCTTGCTGCCCCGAGGGGTCATCCAACTCCACCGAACAGCTCTCTTCGGGTGCTGGTGAAGAGGAAGTCTTCAGTTCTAATTAGCATCAGTTTCCACTCAAATACCCAAGCGCTGCTTGGTGATGGAAACCTGCATGGGAAAATGACCCAGTCTCCACACTCTCAAAGCCCCGCTTCCCTACTCCAGACCTCTGGCGAGATCGCCGTCTGTGCGGCTATGATGAATGGCCGCCCCCGGGCGAGCTTTATGCCACAACTAGAAAGAAGGAGTCCCCAGGTTCCACGACGGTCTCGCCCCTGAAGTATCTTGCCGGCGGTGAGGCTGTGGGGTCAACGTTGCCCAGCAACCGCTGCCATGATGACACCCCGTGCCCCCAGTGGCCACCCAAGGATGTTAGCTTGGAACCCCAGCGCTGGCCTCATTCGGCCTCCTAGCCTTCATCTGCTCTCCTTCTGTGTCCCATGGTCATGGGCGGGCGCAGCAGGTAGAACGGACGAACGAATGCACGCGAACCACATCACCCTCTGGCTTGAAACTGCAGGGCTTCCCACGGTGCTGGGGCAGCAGGCAGACCCCTCCCCCCAGCCCGAGCAAACGGCCGCCGGCACAGCCCCATCTCACTGCCCCACTTTTCTCTGGCTCTCTGCACTGGCCTCCAGGCAGTTCAACCCCAGAAAGCTAGTCCTGCCCCCAGAATTTTGGTTCCGCGGCTCTGGAGTGGAAGAACACCAAGCACACTTCTAACCGGTGCCCAGATGATGCTGCCACTGCCAGTCCTGGAGCCACATGTTGAGAACCACCCCCGGGCACCTCCCGTGGGGGTTCCAGGCCCCTGCGACACCCTCCTGGCGCTGCCCACCCCCGTAGGCGATGTTCTGCGTGTCCACGGCCACCTGTACGTTTCCTTCGCAGGGAGGAAGCCCTCATCCCGCGCCGGCTGTGTGTGATCATCTCATGGATGCCCACCCCTCACGGGGCCGTCAGGCCCCTGCTCAGACCGCAGACGCCCTTGCACCAGGCTAGGCAGCACCCCTGTTTCATTCAGGATCCGGGCCCCAAGGCCGGCCCAGCCCAGGCACCTGTATGCGCTCGGTAAACATTGCCACGGCAGGGCTAAGCTGCCCCCAGCTGGCTGAGGACACGTTGCCGTTCCTTCCTGTGATGGCAGCTTTAGTGCAGCTTGACTGGGCTCAGGGGGCCCCAGAGAGCTGGTGAGAAATATTGGGTCCTTCCAGGATGGTGTTTCAGTAGAGATTAATTAGCATCTGGATCAACAGACTGAGCAAAGAAGACCCCTCTCCTCCAGCAGGTGTGCATCTGCCAGCCCACCGAGGGTCGTGGGGGAACAGGAGGAGGAAGGACCAATTTGCTCTCCTTGCTTGAGCTGGGACATCGCCCCCTGCTCCTGATTCTCAGACCTTTGGACTCAGACTGACGGCACCACTGGCTCCCTTGAGCTCAGCTTCTCGACTCCATAATTGCACGATCTAGTTCCTATTATAAATCTTCTATATACCTATGCCTAGATATCAATACCTATAGATCGATCGATCCATCTCTTGTTTCTTTGTAGAACCTCTATTAATACACTTCCCATGCATGGTTATTTTACTTCAAAGAAGCGCATCCTACTTTAGATGGACACATACTGGCACCTCCCTAGAACAGGGAGCATCAGATACTGCTGAATATCAACAAGAGCTGGAGCGAATCTGTCAAACCCAGAGAAGTTGTTTATAAAAGATACAAGTGTCTGTTGAGAGGCTCACTTCCTTGTGCCAAGAGAGGCAGATTCCTGCAGACCGTACGGATGATGTAACCGATGCCTCCAGGGCTGCTGAGGAGAGGAAGCTGCAGGTCAAGTGTCTAAGCAGCAGCCTTTGGTTTTCTGGTGAAGGGGCTTCTCCAAGCGTGGGCCTCCTCTCCGTAAGATGTGGATGAGACAGTACTTGAGCCTCACGAGGTTGCTGCGAGGGTCGAGTGGGATGGTGTAGGGACACAGCACAGCCCGCACTGAGAGTGCGGTGAATCGTCGCGCCGGCGGTGGTCACAGGTTGCCGGCACAGGGGCCTTCACAACATGGGTGCTCTGGACACGTCTAATCTCAAATATTCTGTCCCCAATTTTTTTTTGCGGGGGGAGGTGGATCTGGACAATATGGTTGTGCGTATGGTCTGTCTCAACACCTCGTTCTGAATGTGCTACCTGCGTCTGCCAGAATGCAGCGAGTCTGCGGTGCGACACGCCCGCCGCATGAGGCAGGTCCCTCGGCTGGGCATTTGCAGATAACACAGGGGAGTGAGACCTCCGGCACCAGCTGGCACACAAGGCGGCGTGAGAGGAACATCAGATGAAGGCGCCTCTAAAAGCACACAGGTGTGGAAAGGAAGGTCAGTCACTGCGGACTGAGGAGCATCCGACTGGACCTGGAGCGCAGACCTCGAGGACAGAGCAGCAGAGTGTCCCAGGCCTTTCCGGCTGAGGGAACACAAAGTTCAGTGCCCAGAAGTGCAGGGTCTGTGGCTCACTCATGAGAGAGAAGAAAGAGTGGGTGCCTGTGGAGACGAGACAGCACGTGCGAGGGAGAGAAGCTGGGCAGGCGTCTGGGGACAGATATTAAATCACCTTGGATGTGACACTGAGCAGTGTTTGTTCCATAGGTAGCACGCGTCTGGCTATAAAATCCTCTGTATGAAGCTCCTTGTGTCTTTCTTTTTCCCAGGTTCGGTTTAGGAGGGACAGGTGTGAGGGCTCCAGACAGCGTCGGCTGCTGGCAAGGCCCGTCCTCCATTTGCTGGTTACTTTTTTGGGGGGCACTGGCCATACCACTCTGGCCTTACTGCTCCCAGGTAAGTGGGCACAGACAGTTATGACATCATGTTCTAAACATCCACACACTCTCACCGCTTAACTATGAAAGCAAGGTTAGCACACGTACTGAGATGGCACCAGGCAGCTTTCTTACAAATTCTTGACATGGATTTTTCTCTGCTCCGCTAAGATTTGAAGACTTTCTTCAACCGATTCTCTGTTTATGTTGCTACTTCACATCAGAAGTCCTTAGAGGTCACCGTGGTCTGGGGTCTCGTTTTCCTGGATGTTGAAGAAGCGTCTGTTTCTCGTGCACACACCCCTGAGACAGTGTCCCGACACGTGGGATCTCTCATTTGATTCGTGGTGCTGTGCTTGGCAGCCCGATGCCCCTCACATTACGCCCCGATGTGCGATATACAGCCATACTCATTTCATTGTGCTTCATTTTGTGAAACTGGCTTCACAGATCACGTGTTTTTTTAAAAATGGAAGGCCTGTGGCCACCCCACAGGAGCAAGTCTACGATGCCATGTTCCCCAGCATCGGGGCTTCCCTCGAGCTGTGTTCCATTTAGCGAAGGCCTAGGCCTGGCTCCCGCCACCTGTGGGTCCTTACAGTGCCGTGAAAACATGATTTTTATATGCACCGAGGAACCCACAGACTCGCATGCCTTGCCTTGCGGTGATATGTGATTTATTGTGGTGGATCTGTGCCCTCTATACCTCCGGGGCTTGCAACACAACCTCCAGGCCATGACCTTCTGATGGACCATTTTTCGATGAGGACAAAGTCTGTCAGCCACTTGACCAATGGTTTGAAGATCTTGGCAAAGAAGCAAGTGTTATGCTAATGGCCTAACGACCTCTGCTTTTCTTCAGAAGAGATGACTTGTGAAGGAACAAAATCACAAGCTCATCAGCAAATATCAGCACCTACTTCAGCTTGATGTGTTTTAAAGTGAAGGAGAGATTACAGAGCAGTACGAAGTTGCTGTTCAGAGTCTGATGTTGTGTTATCCTCCATTTCACTGGCAAGTTAGGCTGTTCAGAGTATATTTCTTCCATTGCTACCAATTCCTGGGCCTCCTTGGTGGCTTAGATGTTAAGCCTCAACACGACCGTCATTGCTACCATTTTTCTCTGGCTTATTTCTTATTTCTTTATTCCAGATTCACTTAGGAGAAATATAGGTTCACATTCTCTTCTTAAAATATTGAGATCACATGTGGTTTTATATTCTACTCCCCTCCCCACCTCCACTTGTTACATCATGGCCCTTCCAGTTGTTACCAAACTCTTGCCTAAATATTTCAATGCCTTGGAAATATTCATTCAGTTGAAGCCCCCCGCCCCCCTTTACACTGCTGTAAGTAATGCTGCAGTGAACATCCTTAAGCACATATTTTAAATCTCATCTCTGTTCATTTTCGTAGGATAAATTTCTTTAAGTAAATCACAGGGTCTGGGGACAGTTCCTTTGAGACTTTCCCTACAGACCCTAAACTGTGACACACCTGTTTTCTGTGTGTAAAGTATATGGTGACACTGTTTGAAGGTTCCTGTGAGAAAATCATTGCCAAGTTGACTGGAAATGGCAACTTCTGTTATCAAAATAAACCTAGGGTTATCATCAAAGGGGGTATTTTGCTGCCTGAATGGAGCTGATTACAGAATTTCAGTTTAAATTAATGAGATGAACTACCTACTGCAAAGGTAGTGAAACACATGTGGAGTGACAAGTTCAACTAACAGGCTCTGTGCAAGGCTTGTCTCTACGGGGCTTGTTTCTCCTCTTCCTGACCCCCATCCCCGGAGAGAAGAATTGCTGAATACCGAAGTCAGGGATCTTGTTCCAGCTTTCAGAAGCCTCCCATTATGAGTGTAAAGCCTGACTCTGAACTCTGGGAGCTGGCTAACCATGAGTCCAGGTCATTTCTTCTCAACTATGTATGTGGATAGTAAATTAAAAAGATATGTGAGAATTAACTAGGATACAAAACTATCACAGTACCAGGTGAGTTGCAAGTAACCAGGAAGTGCTTATTTTTGAAAATTAGCTTCATACTCACAAATGCATATGAAACCTTAATAATGGAGGAGTAGACAGAAATAAACTATCTATTGAGCAGAAATTTCGTAAGTTTACAGTTTCATCAGCTCTGTCAGTAGGATGACTGAATGTCAGGCTCATTATCATCTTTGACATAGAGATCATCTTCACCACTAGGACCCCCATCATCAACATCACCACAACCATCATCACTGTCACAATCATCACCTTCACTATCACCACCACTATCATAACCACCACCATCATTATTATCACGATCATCACCTTCAATACCACCATCGTCATCATCATCATTACCACCACCATCATTGTCATCACCATCATCATCATCATCACCACCATCACTATCACAATCATCAACCTCACTACTACCATCATCATTACTACCATCATCATTGTCGTCACCATCATCACCACCATCACTATCATGATCATCACCTTCACTACTACCACCACCATCATCACCACCACCATCATTGTCATCACCACTGCGGCAAACACAGGAAAAGGGGCCTCAGGGATAAGCGCTCAGAGATGAAAGGGCCACTGCTGAGCTGTGCCTCCCCCTCAGAGCTTAGTACTGACTTTCCAGTGTGAGTTCTGGGCACAGGCTTCCTGCCAGCTCCACTCTGCCTTTTTGGGCAACAGGTTCGCAGGAGCAAGAATCAGTCTCATGTTTTTGAGTCTCAGGAGTCCCTTTATTGGCCCTCAACATACGGTCAGGGTGCGTCTGCCAGCGTAAATGTTCTCCACACTGAAGCACAACATCTGAATCATTAGAAACAGAGCCTCCTTCAAATCCGTTCTTCCCTTTTGCTTACCACAAACAAAAAGAATGTAGTTGCTGAAGTGCACACGGATAGAGGGCTGTGCCAGGGCCCACTCAGTGATCTGTTCCACATCTCATACCCTAATCAGGCAGGAAGCCAGGAATCCTAATTTCAGTCCCAGTTAAGGAGCAGGAAAGAAAAATCAGAACTATGCTTTGCTTTCCAACCAGATCGATGCCATCCTCGCTACCGCTAGGGAGGAAGCACAGCCCTGACTTGAAACACTGAAGAAACGACGTGTCTGGTATGTTTCCCTAAAATGCTCCAAGACAAGGCAGGGGAGTGGGTGGGGGGCATTTGCTTTCATGCTTCTTCTGTAGCTGCAGGTGTAGAACATACAGAGAGAGGGGAAAAAAACGACAGTTTTTAAGTGAATAAAATGGACACAACCTAAGATTAGCCTGGAGACTTTAGTTTTGCCTTTGGGATGTCCCTGGGTGTTAAGGAACTCACAGTGCTGGCTTAGTCCTTCTTAGAGTGTGATAAGTGATTTCCTGTCATCCAAGTGAGCCAAATTTTAATGCCCATATCTTGTGATTCTATGACTTCGACCTTTGTCAGGAAAAGCTAATTCTCACACCAAGTGTCATGTAATGAACCTGGCAAAGACAGAAAAGGAGCCCACACCTCTACCTGGGAATCCTGAACCCCACTGGGGCCTGGTGGAGCAACCCAAAAGGGGGTGCTAGTCATCCCTTGCTTACCTCCAACCTGTGCCCTTTCCTAGACACAACAGACACAGACAATCTATGGCTACTGCCACCTGCGTCACAGCTCTCCTGGGCCTGTGGCGTCGAGAGTCTGCACGTGAGCAAGGCCTTTGCTGTCCTGGCTGTCCCTGTGTGGGCTCTGCCCAGCGGGAGGCAGGAGGACAGGGGTGGGGCTGAAGGCATTAGCAGCTCATAAACCCATGGCCCAGGCAGGTCCTTTTCTCCACCATCTGTTCAATTCATTAAACAGCGAGGACATTAAGCCGAGGTGGCGCTAATGCCTGCGCAGCCTACAGAAGCAAGCCAAGACGCAGGCCTGCAAATGTCCTGGGCTTCAGAAATCAAAACCAAAGGCCAGCCAATCCCAAACCGCCAGCCGAGCTTCTCCACGTAAAGCAACCAATCAGATACTTTCCTTGCTCTGCTTCTGCCTTTTCTGCATGAAGGTTTCCCCCGAGTTTCTACTCATTGGAATGTTCTTCTGCTCACATAAATTCTTAACTATTTCAATAGGCCTCAGTTTATCATTTGACACGGCCTGCACCGGGCTCTACTCTCTTCCACAGCACTTGCACCACCCACCACACCGTGTAAGCCACGCCTCCCGTGCAGAAGCCGCTCGTGGTCAGGCGCCTGTGTCTCCTTTGTATGCCGCTAGCTTCGAGCAGCTGGAACAGTGGTTTGTTTGCACACAACAGGTGCCAAATATTTGCTTAACGGCTGCATTTTAGTCACCATGCTGACACAGATTTTAGTTGAACAATGAATAAGTCTGCAAGCCAAGCACTATTCATCTGTTTGAAATATTTGCCCCCACTCCGACCCCTCAGACTCTTGTCTGTGGAGCAGTTAGCTCTGACAGTCAAGCAATCACTGTCTCCGGGTAGAACAGAGGAGGAAGCAAAATATTTACTGAAGCAGAAACATGGTGGGGCGGGGAGTGGCCTGGTTGTTTTCACTTAACTAATGATGCCCATGGGCACCCCACTCCCACCTGAGTATTTGTCTCAGAAGCAAAACAAGTCAGCGTGAGGTTTGGCTCTGTGATTCCAGAAGAGATGAGAATTTTGTTAAATGCAAACTGTTTGTGTTGCCACTACTAAAATGAGAAAAGAGCCTTGCTTAAATGGCTTTCCAGCCCCAGAATGCCTGGCACATTTGTCTCCATAAATGCTTGAGGATGATCTGGATACTATGCGAGGGAACACAGAATAAAAATAAAATCATACTGAGCCGGGGACCTTTCCACTTCTCCCTGTTGCTGAGAGGTATAATTTGGGCAAATATATCTTTTCTTTTTTTCCCCCTCAAACCAGGTCAAATGGCATAAACTGGGACCTCTTGGGCAGATTCTTTCTCTGGCTATCTTGGGCGTGATCAGCCACTCCCGTTCCAAGCTGACTGGCCACAGATTAGTACATCTGAAATGTCAACAGCTCCGTGGTTGCCTCCTGCTTCCTTTGAATTCAAGGGTCGCAGATGTTGATCAAAATATTCATATCGTCGACTTACACTAATTTCACTAGTTTGTAAATCTCAGGCAAGATGTTCAATAAATGACCTAGCAAATTAATCTACTTCTCCCCATTAGTTTCTGACTCTTTAGCATGAGGATGTCAGCTACCCTGTGAAAGCCAAGGGCATTCAAGCTGTGTAAGGGCTCTGTTTATTCCTCCTCTGAGGCATCTGTCTGTTTTCCCCCCACCCCCAGGCCCGCCGCCGGCCACCCCCTCCTCCACTCCAACCAGGTCCCTATTTTCCAGTTCCTGCGTTAGGGTACAATAAGAATAAGTGAAAGAGGACCCTACTCTTCAGGAGGAAGAAGCGCCTGGAAAAGGTAGTCTTCAACATCATTAGCAGTTCATCTTCCAAAACCCCAGGGCAGCCCCTAGGCAGGCCTGCACCTCCCTTCCCTGCCCCCCACACCCCTCTCTTTGGCTTATCAAATTAATGAAACCCATCTACTAGGCAGGAAGTTGGAGTAGAAGACAGTGGCTTAAGAGCCTTTCAGGGAAGCCCCTCCCTCCCTCCCTTGAAAAAAGAGTAAGAATAATGGGGGGAAGATCAGAATTTCTTTCTCTAGCAAGGGTGTTGGGGGTGGGGCGGGGGTGGCTGTGATTGTCTCCCTGTTCCCTGAAGGAGGAGATGTCTATTTACTTTCCCTGACTGAACATTTGCATGTTAAAAAGACGCAGCTCCTCTGTGGGGAGGACTGATCGGGCTGTTTTCTGCTTGACAGAGCTGAGAACTCCATGGACTCCAGGTAAAGCAACTTCTGCCACCCTCCCCCTCGCCTCCCTGTACACCGGGCCCCTCTTACCAGCAGGGTCTGGGGGGCCTGGGACAGGGTGTTCAGCGACACCTCACTGAGCATGCGGGCCCTGGTGGGGGGGCAGGTCCCCTCACTCACCGGGCCCCCGGTGCCCACCGCCAGGCGCTGAGCATAAGTCCCAGCTCCAGATCCAGGAGGCAATTTTCAGCTTGAGGGACCAAACACATCAACATCCCTCCTCACGTCACTGACCTAAATATAGACAATGACTTCGAGGGGGGGAAAGCCGAACACGCTTTTATACCTGCAAATGCAGCACAGCCCTTCAAACAAGGCCGGCAACGAGGAACAATAGGTGACCAGTCAGTTGTGAAGGGAAGGCGGAGGGGGCTGGAGAATGATGCCTGTGATCAGGCCATCATGGCTTCTCAGCTGAACATCAATCCTCATCTGTAACCGGGGGCCTGGGGAGTACTCTGGGGCTGCTTTGTGGCCCTGCCAGCTTTTCCCAGGGAGCCTGGCAGGGGGAAAGGGGGGCACTGCCCTGGTTCTTCCTGGCTAAGCCGGGCTGGTCTCTCCTCATCAATAGAGGGGAAGCCTGACTGGGAAGCGTTCCCATCCCAGAAGAGAACGGCAGCCCTGGGCTTCTTTGTTGTTACTGCACAGCCTCCGTGAGCCAGCCTGCCCCCGCCCCTCCTCAGCACCCCAGTCCAGCCCCTCGTCCACATCAAGCCAGCTGGGTGCCCCGTGGCCTGGACAGGAATCTAACTACCCCACAGGTGAGCCCGCCCTCGGGAAGGCTGTCTTTTGATGCCACGTACCTAAGAGTGTTTGCCTGTTTATTAATTGGGGATTATTCTCCCGTGGGGTGAACAGAAGGACCCCCTCTGATGAACATGGGTCCCCTAACTAGGTGCCTTGGGGCCATTCTCTGAACAAACATGGATAGAAAGGGGTTGCCAGCAATTAGGGTGCAGTTGTGGGCAGCTGAAGACCGGGGCGAAGTCACGTGTCTCACGTATTTCCATGGCTTTTCGTGCTCACCAGACAACTATCTGCCAAGAGCCGTCCGTGCGGCCAGGGATTATAAGGCCTCTTCAGGAGAAGGGCGCCCACCCCTGCCGCATGGAGGCTGAGGCGGCTACTCAGCCCTGAGGGCGCACACCACCCCGTCACAACAAGGGCCCTAGCCCTGGAAAAAGTAATGGCAAAGAACAGAGAGAACCCATCTCACGCAAGATAAAGCTATAGAAGCTCAAGGCACCCGTACACATGAATAAAACAGCAGACAGCCCAATGTGAGCTGAGGCAAAAAGGAAGTGAAACAGAAGCGCTGGCTCAAAGCAACACTTTCCAGGGCTTGTTCCGGCTTGGCTTTACCTGACCCTTTGCTTTGTTCCTCTATATTCCACACAGCAGTATCTGTGTTTCTCCCGCTGACTTACTTCACTTAGCGTCGTGCGCTCCAGGCCTGTGCTGTCTCCAGTCTTGCGATGGTTATGTCACAAGGGTTTATTTGGTTTACAGTTGAGTAGTATTTCACTGTGCAGATCTGGATGGGCCTAACCTATTAAGCTGGGGCACCTAGGTTGTTTCTGTAGCCTGATCATTGTCATCAGGGCTGCAGTGGACACAGCAGTGTATTTATCCCTTGAGGTGAGTGTTTTCATGAAGAC